TTTAGCAGAAGGTGCCCCGAAAGAGGGCTCCTAAAGATCTACTTCCAATCACTGAAAGCGAAGAAGCAAGATAAAGGGACAGTACACTGAAAGAAGATAGAGAAGTAATGGTAAACATGAAATCTGGGAGAGTCACTTACACACCCACAGTTTATTACGTAATGTCACTGGACTTTTTTTTCTGCAGCTGTAGTAATCAAAGAGTGAATGTCATTGAGGCAGTTGAAAGAAAGGGAGAAAGATAGCTGATTACCAGAAGCAAATGTAGCTCTTGAACCACAAAAAATACTCATTATTGTTTCACACCAAGAAAAGTATAGGTCGCTTGAGAATGATTATTCTTTTTTTTTTTTTTTTTTTTTTTTTTTGTGGAAGTATGCATGACAATATTGTTATAGCATACTTACAGCTCTGCAAAGTGTTATGTAAAAGATATGTAGGGTATAGGTCTGCCTCTAAATTTTTAAAAAGTAAAACTTAATAAGAAACAAGATCTGATTTGGTTATGAGAGAATACCGAAAGAACAGCAAGCCACTTTCATGTTTGATGTCACAGACGTTGTGTGTGCCTATAGTCAGTGAAAATGACAAGGAAAAGCATGCAGTTACCCAGAGATTTAAGTAAAAGAAAAATTATTGCTCTATTTATTTATTTATCATATATATATATATATATTATATATAATTATATATATATATATTATATATATATATATATATATATATATATATATATATGTATGTATGTATGTATGTATGTACATATATATATTGTATGTATGTATGTATGTATGTACATACATATATATGTATGTATGTATGTATGTATATATATATATATATATATATATATATATATATATATATATATATATATATATATTTTATATACATACATATTATATGTATATGTGTATGTATATATTTACCCTCCCTATACAAGATTGATAGTTCCCAGAATTTTGAGTTTGATGTTAATATTACTATTTATTCTTTATTATATATTATACCGTGAGATGTAACTTACCCGTGTGCCTCATACTCAGACTATTTTTGGACGACCGACATATGCGACGGGTTTTTTAAGACGGCAAAGATTCAAATTGTGAGTGCCATCATGAAATTTGAATCCTCAAATTTGATGTAGGAGTCCTTAAATGTAAGACGTTAACCAGTCTGTTGTGACATAAAATATAACTGTCAGATAGGTGTTTAGATCCAAAACAAAGGAAAAAAAAGTTTGTTATAAAAAAAAAAAAGATGATGTGGTATTTACAACATGCATAATATGCAAATCTCGTCGCTTGTCCAAAGCAAAATGTAACTTTAAATGTAATATGCAGAGAGTATTTTAGTAGCATAAATTTTTGTAAAGAATGAGTCAGTCTTCGTATATGGGGTAAACATTGAAATAGGAGAAGGGTTTCTTTCGGTGTCTTATTCCTCAGATATATATTATATGTTTAAGCACTTCTCATAGATATGTGGAAGATGTGCCCTGTTGACAAGTTAAGTATATTTCTATTTTATTGAATTATTCCTAGTCAGTCAATACTTTTTGTAATATAGGCTTTCGAATATGTTCTTTTTGTTTTTATATTTTAACCAATGTAGTTGTTGCCAAGTGTGTGTGTATGTTTCCTGACGTATGATCCATGTGCGACAGTTTTGACAGTTTGGAAATAAAACGTCTAGAAAAACTGTTACATGAGTTTATATTATTATCCTGTGTGTAGGTGTGTAAGGAATTTAATTATTTATTGCTTTTTAGCTAAAGGAAAAATGAGAGCAAGAAAAGGTGTTTTCGATTTTCTACATAGAGTACTGCCAAAGATTTTCTTTTTATCCAATAGATGTAATTGGCATTTCAAGGTAGTGTGACATCACTTACATTCTATTTTTTATAGTGTTCATAATCTCTTCCTCTTTCAATTGAATTAATGAAAGGCATTCAAGCAAGCAGTATTAACTAAGATTCTGTATTATGGATTCTGAAATCCCCTGATCAATAAAGAACTTTTGAAAGGAAATATGTTCTAAGTACATAAATTACACATGAAATTTTTTTTTTTTGAGAAGCACTTAAAATACACATTGGTTTGATAAAAAGTTATGAGAGAAATAGTATGCACTACTTTATACAATATTTTTATTATCCGATCCACACATTCTGTCCCTTGCTCGTTGTGGGGGGATTTAGGAGACGGAGACTGAGGTCTAATGTAGAGGATCACCCTACCTTGGACCTCAGCCCTTGCTCAGCTGATTTTGCAAGGTCATTTCTTCTCCCCCTTTCCTTTCCTTTCTCCTCTTCATCCCCTTCTGTCTATATCCTAAACTGTCCTTCCCAGTACCTTGCTTGTTGTTGTGGGGAGGCTTAGGTGACGAAGACTGAGGCCCAAGGTTGGGGATCGCCCCTACCTTGGGCCTCAGCCCTCAGCTAATTTTGCTTGGTCTTTTCTCTCCTTTCCTCTTCAGTATCTTCTTCATCCCCTTCTTCTATCCTACTCCTAAGGTGTGAGAGCCGTGCTGAAAGGATGAAAGGATAGCTATGTGTCAGTCATGAACAGCCTCCGGGAGCCATGGACACGGTATTCCCTTAATTGCCTTACCCCTTAGGGGGACCCAGAGGGGTAGCCTGTTTCTTTTCCCTATTTTATGCAGGTTTACCATAGCCAATAATGAAGATTCTTTACCCTTAATAGGGACATTAAGGTTTGCCCTTTTATCAACTAGCCTATCTAAATTTGATTTTAATAGTTTTCCGACTCATGCCCCTCCTTTGACCACGGCTCCGACCACTGATATTAATACCCTCTCTTCGACGCATACTAACAATATCCATTCCAAAACACCCACCCAGATTATTACTTAACCTCCAGAAAGCACTCCTTCCTTTCCCAACATTCCCCTCTCCATCTCCTACCGCATAGTCATCTTCCCGTATTACTACTATTCATCCTTATTGTCCGCCCCCCCCTCCACCACACACACAACTAATCCACTCCACACCACCCCATCTTCCTCTCGACCTCGTCCTTCTACGGCCTCTACCTCTAAAAACCTTTTGAGTACTCTCTTTGGCCCTGCCAAGTGGGATCGATGTTTTGTGGCCCCACAACCCTCTATTTTGAGCATACCCATCTCTCTCAACAAGTATGCAAGGCTACCTTTCGCAGTCACTCCGATCGTTCACGCCTTGTCACAGTTACATCTGAATCCCCAACTTGTGCACTATCTACACGAACTGATTTTACTGGCAAACCCATTCCTGCCGAACCTCACTGCTCTGTTTATACTTGTACTGGAACTGTTTCTATCCCCTCAAATGCTTGCCCTATCTACAACAAGGACTGGTCAGACTGTGAAAATAACCTATTTCCCTGCCTTGCTTATTATGATGGTGTTACACTATTCCTCCCAGAGGACAGCGTAAGTCCTATGTCAATATTGCCAAGATTAGCTTTCGTAGACATGACCTCACCCATGAAGTTTATGTTGGTGGATTGTCCTACCATGTCGACCCCCTTCCTCATCAATGTCAGAAATGTTTTGGCCACCCAGACAATCACTGTCGCTCCACAGCCTGTTGCCCTTTATGTGCCCAACTTGGCCATGACCTTTCAAATTACCCTGCTCAATCACGTACATTTGCCAATTGTGGAGACTCCCATAATGTATTTTATAGGAACTGACCTATTTGTAAGTTTGAATGTGAGGTAGCAGTCCTCAGATTCAAATCACGCCTCACTCTCTACCTGAAGCCAGACAAGAAGCACGACGACGAGGTTTTTTGCTCAGATATCTATCTCCTCTTCTCTTCATAAGAGAACCTTTGTTTCTGTCCTATTCATCAACTTCCCTCCAGAAACCTTTGAAGACATCCAAAACTTCCTAAAGATGACCCAAGAGAACACTGCGATCTGTTCCTACTCTTTTTACTTTTAATTTGCAGATATCCATCCTCCTCCTCAAGTTCCCCCTTCCTCCTGCACCTCCCTACATACCCCACCCTCTTTACCGTTCCCACTTGAATACTCACACGAATCCTCTCTATCGCAACAATGTCCTTCTCCAGACCCCTCCCCTCCAGACATTCTTCCTGATACTTCACCACCTTCCCCAATCCACCTTTCTCATTCCCGGATTCTTCTCCTCTCCTTTACCTTTGCGACACAATTCTCTTATCATAGTGATATAATGACTTTTATGTCTAGCGCATTCATTTGTTTCAAACATTAAACGTCCTAAATTTTAAGAACCATATTGAAAGGAGGAAAGACTGGCTTTGTGTCAGGCCTGAACAGCCTTCACAAGTATTTGCTCTTCCTCTTTGCTCTCATCACTACCATACTAACCAACAATGCTCTACGACTTTTGACTCCTATTTTATCCTAATCGCCAGCTCATGCTTAACCTTTGCGCCACAGAACTTTATCATCGTGGTGGATGGCTTTTCCTTGCCTAGGGGTTTCGCTCCCAAGTCTCGCCCTATCGCTGTATTTTTGAATGGGCCGCCAATGACCATAGATGCTGATGCAGCAGAAAAAAATCAGTGAATAAATAAGTTAGCCACTTATTTGTCGAAAATAATATGAATGGATTAAATGAGTGAACACATTATCTACGTATTTATTTATATAGTTTATATTTGATAGTCATTATCATATAAAGTTCACGGTATTTAAATATTATAACATTATGAAAATAGGAAAATCTACAGTTGGGAAACACTAGCCGTATAAGTTATGCATGAATATACAACTAATTTAGAAAGTGGTTTGGCACATACTATGAATATATGAAAATACACAGTATTTATGGGCCATCTTTTCTGAGATAGCAATGAGCTCAATGACATATTAAAATATTCATTCAAATATATTACACTCTGAACTAGTACCAAACTATATTTTCTATTTATTCACTTTCTGAAATAAAAGTAGAAACTCATTTATAAAATACACATTTGTAAGTTTCTTACATCACACGGTATCCCAGAAGTCATTAGGCAGCTGATAGTCAAACACCATCATGTCAAACTTGAAGACATCGTATATTTGTTTCTTCAACTTCAAAGGAACTTGTTTGTAATATCTGAAAACGTAAAAGAATGATTATTGTCAGATCAAAAGTTGGCCTATCTACAAGTTTAGGCCTGAGGTGGCAATTCTCAGATTCAAACTTGGCTTCGTTTTACGTGTGGCCACACATGAAGCACGCAGACGATGTTTTTCTTTTGCTCTCTACTCCTCCTCGTTGTCTTTTGCTCTGCCCTTCCCTCCATCCAAAGACCTCACACATATATATATAGTATTTCTCCCTCATCCCATTTCTACCCACTCCCTCTCCCAGTAATTTTTTCGCCATTCTAAATCCAGATACCCCAGGCTCTACCTCTCCGGTACCTTCCCCTCTTCCACCTCGCTCTTTTCATTGCACAAGAGAAACAAAACGTTCCATCCCATCGTCTCCTACCACATCCTCTCCTACGTCAACCTTTCCCTCCCCACTCAAACATCTGTCCCCCTCATCTCCCCCTTGTAAGAAAATCTTAGTCTCTCAGACCACCCCAACCAACTCCACTTTGGAAACTCCCAAAGACATTCATAGCTATCTAATCATGACCCAAGATAACGGTACTGCACCTCAACCATCCTCCAATCTGTTCCCATTCCATCTACACAAAGTAACCGCCGAGACAGTTCCTCCTCCTACTCATGGTCCCCATTCTCTCCCAACACATCCCATTCCTCCTACTTCAGCTGCGTCCCCCCCCCATTCCTTTCCTATTATCCCTTCCCCTTCCCCCTGGATACACATGCGACCCTTCGTCACAGCAACCCCTTCCCTGGATTGTTCCCTCCTTACATTTCTCCTAAAAGTGTGATCTAATCGCCTTTAAACCTTAAATGCCCTCCTCTCCTTTTTCTAGTCCTACCTTACCCTGCGGACATCCTTGTAGAATCCCACACCTTTCCTTCAACAACTTTTACCCTTATTAATCCCTGCCTTTGCCCATTTACTTGCCCTCTCTACCTTCACCCTTTTGCCCATTTCAGTACCATTCTGTCCTGAACCGCTAAAACGACTTTCGACAGTAGACATTTACTCATCATCCAACCCCCCTCTGTAAACCTTTTCACTACTACACATTTCTAAAGTGCTCTATGACCTTTGATACCAAGAACATTTGGTTTGCTTTGTAATCGATAACCCATTCGCATACAGACAAACAGACACGGTGCAGAGACAGTCCGCCCTAGAAAGCAACAAACAGAAACAAACAGGAACAAAAGCCGAGAATCGGGGACGCACGCGAGGTCGGAAGCGTCCTTGTCCGCGCCCTTCTTGATAGGGTTGGCTTGCCCATGAAGTCAAGGCAGGGGGCTAGAGGCCCTCCTTCGAGACTCGGGCCAGACCTCTCCTGGTGCGGAGAGAGTCTTCGCCTTCGACCTCACGCTCACTCAGCTGCAGGGATTCCTTCGCTCCGAGGTCCTTGAGAGAGCCCTCTCCGACAGTTTGCTGGGAGCACTGTTGGAGTCTGGGATGGACCCAGAGCCTCAGAAGGGAGGTTCCGGGTCCCAGGAAGTCATCGACGATTTTGGTATCGATGGATTCCTCTCACTTTATACAATGCAATTATGTAGGTTTTATTGCGCGGAAACCCCTTGTTAGCGATAAACTTGGCCCCGATATCGGGGGCGACGATGTCGGAGCGGCGGACGTAATATATGAAATTACCCTAATAATATAACCTCACAGTGAAAATAATCATGATTATTCACATAACTTTCCATTGCAGGGGGCTGTGCCCCTGCGACCCTCCCTGGGGGGGGGGGGCTGCCGCCCCAACCCCGCCGAGGAAACAAAACCTCCACCACGTATTCACGGCAGGATAGAGCGCACACGAACTGGATGCGGAGCCGATAACCTACAATAACCTAGGATTTTTAAGGTACTAACCTGATTGATTAATGCCGCTAATTAGTAGGGAGGGTGCTCCTTTGCCGCAGAATGTGAAGGAGGTCCAGGCGTGCTGGCTGCCCGCACCTGCCGCAGGCTTTCTCCCGACGGAGGAGGCCGTGGGGAAGCACATCTCTAGCATTTTTTCCTGGCTAGTTGCAATTTTGCGCAGAAAAACCGTCTCCGAATACGAGCACCCTCCACACTCGGCCATCGCGGCGGCTATGACTGACTTCTGAACGCGACGGTTATTTCGGTTAGGAATACGGATGTCGTTATTCTAGGACGGGAAACTCGACCTTGAGTCCATCGGTGTAACATCGAAAGAGCGCAAAACCCGCCGACGAGGGCGGGCCAACCTGTTCATCCTGATTATACTACAATCGTCTCTATATACAGTGCTGACTATGCCAAGGTTAATATGCTAATTCAGTGGGAATCTTACGAGGTAATTGTAATATTACGCCCGCCGCTCCGACATCGACGACGATTGTGTAACGCTCTAGCCTGCCGGGAATACGTGGGGAGGTTTGT